GCGTTGTTGTTCATTCTGATCTAGGCACATGTACTGAACTCGACGTAGATTTGACAACTGATAATGTAATGACCCCAAAATTCGGGGGAATTTCAGTGAAAGTTGGGCACCATAACAAGACAAACAGAATTGAAAGCCGAGTGCTACGAGGGATGTCTTTTAAGTTTTGCATATGGAAATAAAACAACACGGTAGGTAGTTTTAAATGACTTTATTGTTTTTCGAAGTATTCTCCACGAAGATTAATACACAGCTGCATACGTTCAAACCAATTTTCGAAGCACTTATTCCACTCGTTTGCTGGCAGATCCAAAACGGCATTTTTTAATGCGTCAACTGCTTCTTCTGGTGACTGGAACCTTTGACCACGCAGTGTGTTTTTAATTTTCTGGAAAGTAAAGAAATCGTTATTACTTAGATCGGGACTATATGGAGGATGGTCCAATAATTCCACGTTTTCTTCCGTTAAATACTGCCTTGATTTTTGGGCTGTGTGCGAGCTTGCATTGTCTTGGTGGAGGATGATTCTTGTTTCGGGGTTGATTTTTCGAAGCTCGGTGATGACTTTTGGCAAACAAATGGTGGTATACCAATCCGCAGTAACAGTTCTTTGCTCATTGAGAGGAATTGTTGTTGTTTTGACACAAATGTCGCAACCATCTTTTTCGAAACACCTCGAGAACGGATGACTTTTGTTGGCTTTTCTTCACCTTGGAACACCCAAACAGCCCACTGTCATTTATTTTCTGGTTCATAACATTAAATCCACGATTCGTCACCACTAACAATGCTGTACACACTTTTTGAGTATCCGGAATTGAAACGGAAAGCGTTTTTTGACACCAATTAACCCTTTCTGCTTTCTGCTCTTCAGTTAACAGGTGGGGTACCCAACGAGAAACTAATTTTCTTGCTCCTAATTCTTCATGTAAAATTTTTTGAATTGAGGTCTTTTAGATCTTCAAGGACGCCTCAATCTCGCGATATGTCACATGTCTATCTTCAATGATGAGTTTGCGCACAGCATCGACGTTTTCCTGGGTGACTGCCGTTTTTGGAGCACCCACCCTGGGATCATCGCTAAGACCTACCCGTCCACGTTTGAATTCACCATACCAACGGGAAATTGTCGACTGATGTGGCGCTTCGTTGCCGAAAACAGACAGTAACTAGGCATTCTTGTTGCGATAATTGTCTCTGAAAGTTGTGATAAATTATGGCGGGAAAATGTTCCATTTTTCTAATGACTTGGTGACAGTTAAAAATTCACTGTAGTGAGAATACTGCACACGTATTGTTGTGAAACTTTGAATTTAAGTTTACTAAAGAGTGAGGTTAAGATTCAGTACTGACCTTCGATCCGCACGGCCTACTATGTTTCTATATGCAAAACTTAAAAGACATCCCTCGTACAGGGTGTAAAGTGTAGTGGATCAGCGGAATTCAAGTGATAGAGAGCCTCAAATAACATATCGAATGAACCCCTATATGTGTGGTCTGAAATTTTATAATTCAGGAGATATTTGCAATTTTGTGAAATTTCGAAAAAAAAAACGAGACAATGAACTTTCAATCGCAATTACAACTAAACCATTAGGGTTAGAGCTATGTTTTTTTTGAGATGAGTTAAATGGTTAGTTTTAGCAATGGTTATGTCACTTTTTAACAGAGCTAATTAGAAATCAACACAAAAAATCTTAAATTCATTTTTTGTGAAAAATCTCTTCCATCCCTCAACTCTGGAGAGCGGTAAAAAAATTGAGGTTGTATTTCATTATTTATTTTATTGTAAAAACTAATCCACGTAGAGAATAAACCCTTATACATTACTAGTTTCTGGACCAGTCTTTACGAGATATTACATCATTAATAATTTTTCAGTACATTTAAGTAGAAAGCTGATTCGTGTCCCCTTAAATAATAAAATGCATTGGTATAGATCGTCATACGGTCTGACCTCTAATCAATACCTAATTTTCAACCCCAAACTGCTTCACATGAGACAGTAATTGGTAGATTGCTTGCTGTGCTCGATATTATTGGAATATTCTAACCAAAGTGTCTATGTTGACTAGCCGAATACCAACAAGTTGAAACATGAATTATTCAATAGTTGGATAGCGCGATACGGCAATGAAAGTTGTCAACTTTTTATAACACGTAGGGAAAGACGTGCAGGAACTAATTATGCGGGCCTTCGACATATTTTCCATTCACTTCAACGGAATCTCGTGTGAGGATTGAAATCACTAGTTCAGTTTACTATACGTCCTACCAATGTCTGAAAATTATCTCATGCTAAAAAGTTGAGAATACCTTTTTTTGATTGACTAATTTTTTCGGAAATATTCCATCTTGTTCGTTTTCATTTCAAACGGTACTACAATCGTAAAAAATTCTGAAACAGGATATGCTTTTTGGATGCTATATGAGATGTACATGATCATAAACCACACGTCAATCATTTCGGTCGGCTTGTCTGTCTGTTTGTCTGTCTGTCCCTCGCCCATCTATAACTTTACTGGATCTTGACACAATGCTAAGGACGAAAAAACTTTGCAGTTTTTGGAAATCGCTCCAGTGGCGGCGGAGCTACAGGCAAAAAACAATAAAAATTGCTTAAGTCGCTGTGTGAAGGAGATATACCGGTAGTTCGTTTACAAGAATATCAAATATTCGTTTTAAATCTTCCTCATGAGTAATAGATGAAATACTAATTGTTATTTTGTTAATGTTATATTATATCATTATTATTTGAGTGATTTCTTTCTTTGTGCTGCCATATTTAACTTGTATAGGGAGTTAAATAGTTTTAGATACTGCGAGTACTTATTTCGCAGTAATATTCACTATTCCACTCTTTGTAACCATTTTGTCTTGTAATAAAACATTTTTTTCTTTAAATTCCATGTGTTTTGATCTTTCATCACTAATACAGGGTTTGTCCGGAAAGTAATAGGACTGAGTCGATTTAAAAAAAATTTATTGAGCCAATCGTTACAATTCTTTAAAAACTTTCAAAATAGGCTCCTTCTGCGTCGATGCAGCGGTGCCAGCGCAATTTCCAAGCATTGAAGGCGTCACGGAAGGCATTCTCCGGAATAGCCTTGAGAGCTGCGGTGCATGCTGCTTGGATCCCCTCTGTTGTCTCAAAATGCTTGCCTTTCATCGGCCTTTTCAGGCGGGGAAACAAAAAAAAGTCCGGGGGGCACATCTGGGCTGTAGGGCGGCTGCGGATGCGTTGGGATGCCGGCCTTGGTCAGGTAGCTGTTCACAAGAAAGGCGGTGTGAGGCGGGGCGTTGTCGTGGTGCAACTTCCAGTCGGCTACGATGTCTTGTCGGACCCGACTGACCCTTCGTTTGAGTCTCCTGAGCACTTCCACGTAAAACTTGGCGTTGACGGTTTGTCCAGGAGGAACAAATTCAAGGTGAACGATGCCTTTGATGTCAAAAAAGACAACGAGCATCGTTTTCCCTTTGGATTTGCTCATTCTTCTCTTTTTTTGGGCGAGGAGACGCCGTCGTGTGCCACTCTGAAGATTGCCTCTTTGTCTCGGGATCATACTCAAAGATCCACGACTCGTCAACTGTGATTACGTTATTCAAAAATTGGGGGTCACTTTCACACATCTTCAAATTTTCTTGGCACACTTCCACTCGCCGCAATTTCTGGTCGTCAGTGAGCACTTTTGGGACCATCTTCGCGCACACCTTGCGCATGTTCAAACGCTGTGTCACAATGTCATGAACCACAGATTTTGGTAAATTTAACATCTGGGCAATTAATCGCGTCCTCTGCTCTAACGAACGCTGCATTTTCGGCTTGCACCACTCACAGAAACACGCCGCGGGAAAATGCCTGTCCTGACTCTCCAAGTGCTCGGAGACAACTGAACAGCCGCTCATTTGTTAGTTAGAAACGCCCTCTACCGGATCCAGTTGGTGCGCGTACGCTCCGAAGTACAGTCATGGCGGAAGAAAATGAGTCCTATTACTTTCCGAGCAAACCCTGTATAACAGGGACGTAACTAAGTCTTTATTCTATGAATTACCACCCTTAAATTTCACAAAATGACGTATCAACTTTTTTTTGGAAAGTTTGAACACATACAATGAAAAATGGGTGGTTAATCGTTGCTCATTTTTGAAAAGTTTGGAAACACGAGCACACATTCAATTGTGTAGCAATAATACCTTTTGTCAGCAACAACTCAAATCTCGTGAAAATATTCAAAACGCTCTCCTGTAAAATTGGAAAAAATGAGATACGCCACTTCTTGTTATGGACGACGATATGTCCTAGTATATTTGCCAATAAAGAATGATAGAGAAATATTTTCAACACGCGTCTCTGGTTTCTGGTTACACCGATAAGTGTTGTGCCGTGATTGCCGTGCTGCCGAGGCTGACGAGTCGATGTTTCAAGCGATGAGGTATGGGCGAGGAGCGACTTTGCCAGATGGTCGGTACTATCTGGTACGGCAGGAAAAATGTCTATGGACTGATTGTATGGGCCTGTTTGACTGATTCTGTCCGTTTAGTTTCTCTATTGTATATGTTCATAGCTAACTTTTTTCTCAGAGGGTCTAACTTGTGCCGAAAATAATCTTTTGTGAACTGATGACAGTTTTGCCTGCGTAGTTCAGAGACAGCCTACTTGAAGCCATTCTTTTATGTTTGAAAAATTCTCAGCTAGCGGCAACAAGTCCATAATTTTGTACCAAATTAATAAAACTAATCCATTTGATTTTGTATTTTCGACTTTGGGGAGCTTTTAACCTTAAGAAACGAGCAACTTTCATGGGTTGAAATTTCAAATCCTAATCTATTGTTAGGCCTTAACATCCTGTTATTGAAGCTTTTTTGATTTCTGGATTTCCAGAAATACTTAGTGAAACATTTTTACTTTTCAAATATTTTACGTAATTAAAGCATTAAAAACGGTAAATAATTACGAAGCAAAACATAAATATACATCAAAATAATGTCAACTGACTCACCTTTCTCTCTGTCATGACATAGAGATGCATCAACTGCGAATCAAAATGCAGATCTGGATTGACAGAAGATCCTTCTTCAACCACAAGGTCTCCATACTCCAGAGCTGATGTTGATGATTCAACCACAACCTGAAACCAATCAGACAGAAATGTTTATATGGAGGAATAAGAACTATTCAATAGTTGAGCGATTCTTAATTTGAATAATTATTTTGGATTCATTCTTATTCTGCGGAAAACATATCAAACAAATTATTTATTAGGGTTCCGGGCTCGAACTGATAAATTGTTACTACAATGAGCAAATGTCACGATCACGGCAGCATTGATTTTGTGGACGTGGCTCCTATGGTTGTGACTATTTTGAACATTGGCTTGCCTAACTTCACAAATGTTTGGTCTATGGACAAACTATCAACACAATGAAAAATCGCACCAATAAATGTCATACTTCAAACATATAAAATAAGTTGCTACACATTGACATAATCTCACAAGACATGGCTTTATACTTTTGAAAGATGAGTGATATTTTTTATAATACATAACACTTTTAGAAGTGAATTGCGCATTATTAATTTACCGGCCTGAAACAGTTTTTTCGCTGAAAATAAGAATGACGCAATTATGAAATCAGGAAAATGATTTAACATGAACACTGCCTGTCAACTTCAGCAGTTGTTAGAAAGTCTGCTAAGAATTAGGACGTATGCAAAACGGCAAATACAGGGTGCGTCATCAATTACTTTTTTTCTATTTGAAAAATCAACACGCTTTTTACGAGGTGAAATCGATTTTTTTTTATTGATAAATGAAGGTTGGTTTATGCCATTTATGTATGAAAAATAACATCAGTCATGTGACCACGTCGAATTCGTTTACAGGCCAACATCCGAACATCAAAATTTTCAATTACTTTTCCCAGAATAATCGGGCCTATGGCCTCAATTTCAGTCCGAATATTGCGCTTTAGGTCTTGAATTGTCCGGGGATCAGTCGCATACGCTTTTCCTTTCAAAAATCCCCAAAGAAAATAGTCAAGAGGTGTTAAATCGCACGATCTCGGGAGCCCACTGACATCTGAATTTCGTGAAATTATGCGGTCTTGAAATTTCGTGTGCAATAAGACGATTGTTTGGCGAGATGTGTGAGCCGTTGCTTCGTCTTGATGCAACCAAAGATCGTCGGTACCAATGCGATCCAATTGTGGCTACCAAAAGTCTGTTAACATGCCGCGATAACGTTCCCTGTCGACCGTAATGGCCTTTTCTTGGGCATTTTCTAAGAAGAATGGTCCAACGGTGCCACCAGCTCCTAATCCGCACCAAACAGTCACTTTTTCAGGATGGAGAGGTTGTTCATGATATTGGTGTGGATTTTCAGCCCCCCAGAATCTGTAATTTTGCTTATTTTACGTACACATTGAGGTGAAAATGAACCTTATCAGAAAAGAGCTCTTTGGCCGAAAATCCGCCTTCTCTTTCCAGCATCCAATTAACAAAAACACGCCGCCACCAGTTTCCTCAAAACGATTAACAATCCAACGAATTCCAGGCTCTGTAGGGCGTCCATGTCGGCCAAAACTGGTGCGAAGTTTGCGAAAAGTATTTTTTATATTTCGACCGTTTTCGTAATAACCAAAATGCGTTGTTGTGTTGTAAACGAATCCATGACTATAAATGGCATACCTTTGACAGTTCATTTATGCATACGACATGACTTTTGACTCACATGGTAACACATAAACTTATAGGTAAAAAAAAGTAATAGATGGCGCACCCTGTATTTGTAAAATATAAGCAATCGCTAAGATCCCATAAATCGTCAGCCACGCGATTTGAAAGAATCACATCAATCTAAACCATTTATCCATCAGTCACAATCTTCTATCAGCTGCCCCGTGTGAGGGATTATTATATTGTTTCCCAGCTTCAACCAAGGTACATTCAGTGGATATGAAACTATACCATCGCAACTTTAGCGCTCATAAAAGTTGTATTGATAGCCTCGCAAAAATGCTGACATCCAATTTACGACGAAAGTTATGAATATTTACGTTGAAGTGCGCTCTCGGCGTATGACGGCGGAGTTTCGAAAATATGTTCCTAGGTTTTACGGATCACAATGTAATACTCATATATGCTGAACAAATTCGATATTGATAGCCTGTAATATCTTCTGTTATTTTCAGTAGATAGGTGAATGTCGCATTTTCGTTATAGAGCTTCTTTTCAAAATAAGTTCTATGAAGTGATTTTGATGGTCACTTTTTACCTTTTACTTCTCAGGACTACTGGCGGAAGTATTGTAATAGAGAAAAATTCCGAAAGGGGATGTTTTTTGGATATTATGCGGCATGTAAATCACGAGCTTAGATCGATAGAAACATGTTTTTGACAAGCGTCCCTGTGTCCGCTGGCGCTGTCTGATTTATATAGGGTCCTATTTGTGCTAAATAAAAAAATATAATCCTTTATGACGTGATGACAGAGCCAGCATTGTATGGGAAGTGTAGAGTCAACCTACTTGACGCAATTTTTTCATAGCTACATTACATAGCTACTAGTTATTTCTCACGCTAATGGGCCAGGTAGTATTGAATTGTTAATGGACGAAAACGAAAAAATACACCTGGCTCAAACTTGGTTTTCCGATGTTTGAGAATCTCTTGCTACACCTCACGTTTTGATGGTGGTATACAGGGTGTTCCTTAATGATATGCGAATATTTAAGGATGTGAATCTATATGAAAAATTAATGCTAGTTTGCTTTGTTCCTTACAAAAACTTGAAGTTTTAGGAAAAAAAAAATGGAAATTAATTAATACTTTCAGAACCGCTTCAGATATTTCACTGATATTTAATACGTAGTGAAAGTTAATAAAGCTTCATATTTTTCAATGCAAAAATAATTTTTAGCTTCAACAGTGACGTTGCGTACAGGTATTGACTTCGATATTTTTTAAGAAAAAAAATGGTACGCCAATGCCAATTAAAATTATTTTTGAATTCCCCGTTCAATTTAAAACAAATGATGAGTTGCTTTCCTTCGATGCGCCATTTTTGAGTAAAAAAATACAAACCGTTCTATTGTCTAACTTGCAAAATTATTATTAATTTAATTGGAAACATTAAACACATTAGGGGTAATGAACAACAACAACTGACAACATAAACATAACATTAAAACCAACGAAATTATTACAAAAATAGTTGAAAATGGACTTCACTTAGGATGCATGCTTCCGCCCTCCTTCTCATGGAATTGCGCACTCGTTGAAATATCCCTGGAGTGTTTTTTGTTCTATCACAAGCTGCAACTATTCTTTCTCTTAATTCCTCTACAGTGTTAATGGGACTTGTGTACACTGGTGTCTTGAGATAGCCCCACAAAAAGAAATGTAAACTGTTGAGGTCTGGGGACCTTGGTGGACACTCTTGGGGCTCACCGCGGCCAATCCAACGATTTGGATAAACAGTTTGTAAGTAATTACGAACCGCTACACTGAAATGCGCTGGTGCACCATCTAGCATGTACCACATATTGTTTCTTATTTCTAACGGAACATCATCAAGCAGCAAAGGCAACTGTTGTTGAAGAAAATTGAGGACAGTCTGTCCTTCAAGTCGTCCCGGCAAGAAGAATGGGCCAATAAAGTGGTTGCCAATAATTCCTGCCCATACGTTAACCGAAAATTGGTGTTGGAAATGGGTTTCGGTTACGGCATAGGAATTTTCTTCTGTCCACAAACGACTATTGTGGAAATTCTGAATGGCATTTCGAAGAAAAATTTGCTTCGTCCGTGAACAGAATCATTGATTCAAATTTCGGATTTTGTGTAATTTTTTGAAGATACCACTGACAAAAGGTCACACGCCTTGGAAAATCAATGGGAAGTAATGCCTGTATTCTTGAAATATGGTGAGGATATAACAAAAAATCCACTAAAATTCTCCAAACAATTTGATGGCAAATATTTAAGTATCTAGCGATCTTCCTCGTACTCGTTTCAGGATGTTCTTCAACTTCGTGCAGCACTGCTTCCTCAATTTCAGGTGTTCTCACACTTAGAGGTCTACCTTCAGATGTTCCTTTTCGGACAGAACCAGTTTCAATCAGAGGACGATGAATATTAGAAAAGGTTCGACTATCTGGCAAAGCACGATCGGGATATGTCTGGTGATAAATCCGTCTGGCTTGCTCACCATTACCGTCGGCAAAGCCATATACGTGATGGATTTCCGCCATTTCTGCATTTCAATAATTCACCATTATTAAGAAGATTGTAAAAACTAAATAATGAAAAAGATGTCACAGCGAACAGATTTGAATAACAGAGACTTGTCAGATGTCAAAAGCCAGTGACATATTTCAGAGCAACTAGATATTTATTGCTAAATTGCATTTCTCAATTATTACATTAATTTTCTCGGGCAATAGAAGGGTTTTTATTTTTACTTAAAAATGGCGCATCGAAGGAAAGCAACTCAAGTGGATCATTTGTTTTAAATTGAACGGGAAATTCAAATATAATTTTTGTTCGGCAAAAAACCATTGGCGTACCATTTTTTTCTTAAAAAATATCGAAGTCAATACCCGTACGCACGCCACTGTTAAAGCTAAACATTATTTTTGCATTGAAAAATATGCAACTTTATTAACTTTCACTACCTACTAAATATCAGAGAAATATCTGAAGCGGTTCTGAAAATATTAATTAATTTCCATTTTTTTCCTAAAACTTCAACACCCCCAGTTTTTGTAACGAAACATTTTTGGACCATAGTTTATAAAGCAAACTAGCATTAATTTTTCAAGTAGATTCATACACTTAAATATTCGCATATCATTAAGGAACATCCTGTATTTATATGCTTCCAGCTCCGGTACTTCTAAGTACTTATTCTACATATTCCCTATACATATGTCCTTAAGGCAAAATGTTGAAATATTTTCAATACCTTGCATTGAGCGCAAAAAACAGATAGAAGATAAACCTGCCACGAACTAGGCGTTGCCGCTCGCAAATATAGCTTTATTGCAAGGAGGTCCGTTGAAAGCGCTAATGACACTACAATGATTAGTATGAAAATATGTGAATATTTATGGACATTTTATTATCAACCCTC